ACGCTAGCCTGCGCAAGCCCCAAGCAGTATGTTCTAGCAGATCGCGTGTTACAAACTAAGTGTTGCAGTATATGTGTTGCACTTAATTTCTCTTCGTAGTGAGTTGCCCACTCCACTGCTCGCACAATCATCCCACACACCTGCAACTTGGTTTGCAAAACTCATGCGGCGGCGATTGCGATGAGTGCTTGGTGTTGGCTGGTGCAGCTCTGCAGCCGCGCTAGCCCGCGCATGCTCGCGTGCGCAGCGGCCATATAGTTTGGCGCTACAGACGCGGCCGCCGTGGCGTTGACCGCGCACTTCCAGCAGGCACTTCGGTGCGAGTCGGCGGCTTACCCCAACATTATTTTTTCTAGTCGAACCTACAGAGTACGTTAAAAGCGTGTAGATCTACGGAACTTTCTCTTAGTTTTCACCTAACAGCGAAGACTGATAGGTTTCTAGTAGGGTCAAAAGAGAGCATCATGACTCCCCAGGGGGGTCCGGGCAGGATCCGGAGGGATGCGGGGGAATTCGTTTTAAGCAAACAGTAACGCACTTCGTGGTCTTCGAGTTCCCAGAACTCCGCTCCTGGGCATGATTTTGAATGCCCGGAGCCAACTGTAGGCCACTTCGTGTTCTTCGTGTTCCCAGAGCACCATTCCCGGGCCACATTTTGAATGCCCGGAGCCAACTGTCGGCCACTTCGTGTTCTTGGTGTTCCCAGAACACCATTCCTGGGCCACATTTTGAATGCCCGGAGCCAACTGTAGGCCACTTCGTGTTCTTCGTGTTCCCAGAACAACCTTCCCGGGCCACATTTTGAATTCCCGGAGCCAACTGTAGGCCACTTCGTGTTCTCCGTGTTCCCAGAACACCATTCCCAGGCTACATTTTGAATGCCCTGAGCCAGCTGTGAGGCTGAGGCTGAGGCAGGCTGAGGCTGAGGCAGGCTGAGACTGAGTCTGAGGCAGGCTGAGGCTGAGGCTGAGGCTGATGCAGGCTGAGGCTGAGAGGCTGACGCTGAGGCTGAGGCAGGCTGAGGCTGAGGCTGAGGCCGAGGCATGCTGAGGCTGAGGCTGAGGCAAGCCGAGGCAGGCTGAGGCTGAGGCTGAAGCTGAGGCAGGCTGAGGCTGAGGCTGAGGCTGTGGCTGAGGCTGAGCTGCGATGAGGCAGACTGAGGCTGAGGCTGAAGCAGGCTGAGGCTGAGGCTGAGGCAGGCTGAGGCTGAGGTTGAGGCAGGCTGAGGCTGGGGCAGGGTGAGGCTGAGGCTGAGGCTGAGGCAGGCTCAGGCTGAGGCAGGCTGAGGCTGAGGCCGAGGCTGCAGGCAGACTGAGGCTGAGGCTGAAGCAGGCTGAGGCTGAGGCTGAGGCAGGCTGAGGCGAGGCTGAGGCAGGCTGATGCTGAGGCAGGCTAAGGCTGAGGCTGAGGCTGATGCAGGCTGAGGCTGAGGCAGGCTGAGGCTGAGGCTGAGGCAGGCTGAGGCTGAGGCTGAGGCCGAGGCAGGCTGAGGCTGAGGCCGAGGCAAGCCCAGGCAGGCTGAGGCTGAGGCTGAAGCTGAGGCAGGCTGAGGCTGAGGCTGTGGCTGAGGCTGAGGCAAGTTGCGGCTGAGACTGAGGCTGAGGCTGAGGCAGGCTGAGGCTGAGGCTGGCCGAAGCCAGGCATGAGGACTGAGGCTTGAGGCCGAGGCAGGCTGAGGCCTGAAGGCTGAAGCGTGAGCAGGCCGAGGGCTGCATTCCCCCCCCTTGAGGGCTGTGGCTGAGGCTGAGGCACGCTGCGGCTGAGGCAGGCTGAGGCTGAGGCTGATGCAGGCTGAGGCCGAGGCAGGCTGAGGCTGAGGCCGAGGCAGGCTGAGGCAGGCTGGGGCTGCGACTGCGAGAACAGCAGAATTCTACAACTGGATTCTCACCTAAATCTTAAGGGGAATGCTTCCAGATATGCTTCTACACATCGCTGTTAGGTTGCTTTGCCGGGATAATTTCGTAGATTCGACGGAACAGTCAATGTTCGGGTCAATCCTGTAGTCCATCCCCCTCTCGATTTCTCAAGCCCGACGTCCCTCGATCCCGGCCTCCAGGGCCCGTTGTCGGGGCCTGCGACTCTCCACGAGGAACCATCTGCACGAACGAGATGGGCACGGAAAGAATGGGTACAATGCTCAACAGCAGTTCCTGTTCATTTTGAACATGAATCCTGTTCATTTTGAACGGGGTTCATTATGCTGGGCACTGTACCCATCTTCTCCGTACCCATTTCGGGCGAAGAGGCCCCCTCGGAGAGGGGGCTGGCACCTCCGGGGCCGCGGACCGAGGACCCGTTGTCGTCGGACGTCGGGGACTCTTTTCACCCAGGGCCCCATCCAGAGGGGGCCACGTGCGAGCCCTGCCCCACCCCCCCCACGATTTCTGAGGGGGGGGGCAGGGGTTCACTTCGCTCGGGAGCTCACGAAAATCGTGGGGGGTAGGGGTAGGGTTCGCATCATCTTCCCCTCCCCCTCAGAAATCGTGGGGGGTAGGGGTAGGGTTCGCATGTGGCCCCCTAATCCATGATCTCTTCCCTCGCCGGACGGCCCCGTCTGCCCGGTGCTCTTTTGGCGGCGCGCAGGTCTTCGAAGCTGGCACGTGTCGTGACAAGCTCCAGAGACCCTTCTTTTGCGCTTGAGCCGCGATGGGCGTCGAGCGGCGGGGCTCACGTTCGCACGCGCAATTTAAGTTTCGCCAGTGCCCGTTGTGCTGTAGGAGTGCTTCGTCTGAGCGCGTCAGGGCGCCCTTAAAAATCTGAGAGGATTCCGAGAGGGCACAGTACTTGCATTCCCAACGACGACAAACTGGCTCCCCAGAGAACCGAGTGGGCCTCAAGAAGACCCCCCAGATTGTTTCAAAAGTTGTTCGACGCGAAGATCCCCATCTGTGTGCAACACGGTTCCTGGCACTCCGGTCTGCCAGTGTCCGAGCAAGAGCGTCCCAGCCTCTGGCGACTGAGCGCTTCCGGCGTCTCCCCCAGGAGTGCCCAAAAGCTGTGCCCGCAACTCCGGGATGATCCTGAGATTCTGAGAGGGCAGGGGTCGGGGGGTGTTTCTGGGCACGAACTGCTAAGTGTTTCGCCTCGCAGGCCATGGGTCGGGGGGTGTTTCTGGGCACGAGCTGGTAAGTGTTTCACCTCGCAGGCCATGCCCGTTGCATCACCGGCATCATGGGCCTTGCGACAGATCGGGAGCCTTGAGACGGGGGTCGATGCAAACGGGGGTCAGCCACGGCACCGGATCCTGCAGGATCCTGCGAAGACCCCCTCTGGCTGACCCGGGTCAGCGAGCCGCTCGCGGCCGCGAGGCGGCCGCACATATTGGCTGACCCGGGTTTGCGAAGACCTGCGTTGCAGTTTTCTTTTCCTGCATTGCAGTTTTTGGTTTCCTGCTGACCCGGGTCTGGACTGACCCGGGTCAGAAGATCCTCGAACAGAGAGGAGTCCGAGGCGCCGAAACAGGCGAGCCGCTCGAGAGCTCCCTCCACTGCGGCTGCCCCCTCGGGGTGCTTCAGTGGCATGCCTGCTGCACCGCGGTGGCCAGGGAACTCCCACAAGAGAAGAGTCCGGGGCGCCGAAGCAGGAGAGCCGCTTTAGACGTCCCCCCAGTCAGGCGCGAATGGGCCAGTGACGCGCCCCTGGCGGGTTCCTTTCGAGGCGCCCGAGTGTCACGGCTTCAACATCGTGGGACCCTTGGGCTCCCAAAAGGGAGGAGCCTGGAGGGCAGCACCAGGCAAACCGCTTGAGACATCCCCGCCATCTGGGGTCAGGACGGGCGGGTGACCCCCTCCCTGGCGGCTCCCCCTCCCTGGGGTGCCCACGTGCTACGCTTAAGTCGGGCGTGTCACTCCGCAGGAGGAGTACTCCACAGTAGTCAGAAAGTAGTCTGGGGACGATGTTTCGACTATTTTCAACCGTTCTGTTGAACATGTGCTTGATTTGTTTCCCAACCCTCCTGCGTTGGGTTCTCGTTTTGAATAGAGCACTGCTCGCGCGTCTCCTTTCTTCCTCCCACCCCTCTCTTCCCCCTTGCCTTTTGCCTCGCTCGTCGCTGCGTGCCAGCTGGGGGGCTGCGATCTGTGAAACTGTCGCCACTTTCGAGGCCTGCTGGGGTGCCCAGCACAGTGGGTACTCACCGCAGACTGTCGCCACTTTCGAGGCCTGCTGGGGGGCCCAGCACAGTGGGTACTCACCGCAGACTCAAATGGGACCTCGCCATCCCTGGGGGGCTGCGATCTGTGAAACCGTCGCCACTTTCGAGGCCTGCTGGGGGGCCTAGCACAGTGGGTACTCACCGCAGACTCAAATGGGACCTCGCCATCCCTGGGGGGCTGCGATCTGTGAAACTGTCGCCACTTTCGAGGGCTGCTGAGGGGCCCAGCACAGTGGGTACTCACCGCAGACTCAAATGGGACCTCGCCATCCATGGGGGGCTGCGATCTGTGAAACTGTCGCCACTTTCGAGGGCTGCTGGGGCTGCTAGGGG